GGGGGGGGGGGCCGGGGAGGAGAGGACTGAGGTCAAAGGCTGATGACCAGCTGCTGGGGTTAAGCAAAGTGTGGGGCCCAGTGGTGTTTACTTACTAGAGAAGTTTTAAAGTTCAGCCCGGTCCAGGGAAAGCAAGGCCCACCTCTCTCATCCATATTCCCTGACCCTCTTCTTACTCTTTATGGGACAGGAAAAAGAACATTCACAGAGTCAGACTTGGTCAGAAAATGCCTAGCTGAGGACACCTTTGCAGGACTTTTCCCCCGCAGTGAGCCAAACCGGGAGGTAGAAAATAGGTGAATGTAACTAGCCAAGTTGAATGTCCAGAAGCTTCTCGACCTCTCCCTGCTCGGTGTGACACCCTCTCTTTCACAGGTTCCTTTAGGGAAAGAGAGAGAAAAGGAGAGTCCACAGTGTGTCATCAGAGCGGGGAGAAGAGGAATATTCTGGAACAAGGAGCTACCTCCAGGCTTCTAAACCGACACATCCGTGACCCAGGCCAGGACACACAGTGGTTACACCTGCGGCCCACAGATGGAACCTTCCCCACTCAGCCCTGAAGTGACAGGAGAGGGACCAGAGGGCGGCCTCGGGGTGCATGCCAAGGACGTTCCTAAGGTGGCCAAGGTTGGGAGGCACTGAACACAATTCTGCTGGGGGCTCAGGAGACAGAGCGTGGAGCAGAGAAAAACACACGCAGCCATCGGAACACTTTAAAGGCGAACAAACCAAATCACGGCTGGAGTGTATGGTCATTTTTACTTATTTTAGTTGCTGGGGACACTAAATAAATTCAGACCAATAGAGATAAAGGGCCCGTTTATGTCTTTCTCTTCCTAAATGGCCCAAAACAGGATCTCCAGGGTTTCTGCAAGAGTTCATGAGGTGAGTGTGCGCCTGTGTGATGGACTCCTTGAAGTTGGTACAGGCATAGGAAGGCTAGAGAGTTCTCTAGTCATTAGACAGGGATCTCTGTCTGGACTGAATCTTCATCAGGTGCTTGGCTGATTTAGACCCTGGACACCTTGAGGACTCCTGTGCACAGTGTGAACAGTTTCTAGGAACTGTCCTGAAGGGCCCGAGCACGCTCAGGGGCTCCTTGTCACTCCAGGTTAGAGACAGTTGAGGTCCCCTGTTCAGCATCTTCAGTCCAATACACTCAGGAGTGCTACCTGTGCCAGCAGGCTCTGTCTTTGGGGCTGGGGACTCCAGTCGGGAAGACAAGCAGCAATCCCATAAGAATCAATATATACAAAATAAATATATACCGTGTCAGTCAGGTACTGATAAAGGCCATGGAGAAAAAGACAACAGGGCCAGGGGATAGGATGTGGTGGGGGGCAGGTGGGGAGGTTACCATTTACAAAGGGGGGTAGGAAGGCCTCCCTGGTGGGTGTGCAGAACACTATGTAACCCTCTGACAGGAAATGTGGAGATACCAGCATCACAAATGCACTTACCCACTTCAGGAAACGTCTCCTACGGAGATATCTGCATGGGTGTTAGTGAGATTACCAAGTGCAACCTGATTTGTAACAGCAAACAGGAGGCCAGTCGGATAAACCAAGGTACAGCGTACACAGGAAAACTATGCCACTGTCACAAGGGGGAGGATCCTGGGTATTGATATGAAAGATCTCTGGCATAATTGAGTGGGAAAATGCAAGCTGCCCAGCCGTGTTTAGAGTATGTTCCCAACTGTACCACAAAGTGGGGAACGGGAAGGGGGAGGGGTGGAGAGACAGGGTGTGAGTCAGACATCGCTATGAACCTTATTTCTTTTTCTGTTTTTGCACATGTCAGTGCAGCACCTGTTCCAAAAGGTCTGGACTTTGTGAGCAAGGACGTATCATGATGTATTCTGCAGAGACTTGGGGGAGGGGAGTTCCGGGGCAGCACCAAAGAGGAACTGGAAGCATCTCAGTTCCTGGCTGGAGACAGAGGACACTGAGAAGCCCGGGTCAGTGTGTGCAGGTGGAACGCAGGTGTTTAGGTGACCCCGGCCCGGCGAAAATCTTCCAATAGCTGTGTAATATTCCTTCTTTACATTAGCTTAGGGCAAATTCTTTAAATCTTTGAATATGATAGGTGCCATTTTAAACACCTACTATACATATATGTTTATATAGAAAAGAATCCAGGTGTCCCCTGGCCAGGTGGCTCAGTTGGTTAGAGAGTCATCCCCTATACCAAAAAGTTGCGGGTTCGATCCCAGGTCAGGGCAAGTATGGGAGGCAACCGATCAATGTTTCTCTCTCACGCTGATGTTCCTCTCTCTCCCCCCGTTCCTCTCTCTAAAAAATCAATAAAAAAGAACCCAGTTATCACAAAATTCTATAAAATATATAAAAATTTTTGTATTATCTTTATTATTGACTAAAGTACTTTTCAATAATAAAAATAATATAAAATTTTTTGTTAAATTTTGGTAAGATCAAAGAAGACACAGAGTGAATAGGACTGAACTCTAAAGAAAAATCACAGTATGTTAACAAATGTATTAAAAACATTCAAGTGCAAGGCCTATACACACTCTGATGTGTAAGCATAGATAAAATCGAGACATTGTGTGGCCTTTACAACATCCCCACAGCCCCACAAGCTGTCTCCCATGTTCAGGCTAGATGCCTTCAGGACTTTGAAGTATTTATTTGTCACCAAATTTGGGTGCTAAGTTACTGTCCTCCCAGGAGACCCTCATTAGATGAAGAAAAGTGCACATGACCTTGACGGTGGCTGTGGTCATGCAGAAATTAGCTGACACTGTCAAACACGACAGAAATGCTGCTGTGTGATTTTCCTTTTCTGTCACTAACAAGTAGCTTCTGAGTAGCACATACCAGTAAAGGGGAATCTGTCTGACAACCCAAGTGCCCTTTGCGCTGATTTGATTAATTAACATGTAAGGAACACCTTTGTGCCAATGACTGCTCTAGACACCAGGAATAGAATGGTAAATTCAACACAGCCCTGCCCTTACATAGCAAGTGTTCTATTGAGTGAAATAGACAATAAACAAGCCAATTTACAGACACATTCACACACGTTTTTATAAAATGCACTTACCATATATCAGGATCCTTGCTAAGTGTTTGAGAGGCTTTAGCTTATAGAATCCTCTTGTCAGAAGACACTATTATGCCCAGTTGACAGATGAGAAAACTGCTGTTTACAAGGATTAAGAACTTGGCCCAACGTACACAGCTGAGATTCCAACCCTTGTCTGCCCGTCTCACAGGACTTGTGCTCCTATGTGACAGCTGTGGAGAAAACGTCCAGGTGGAACCTCACTGTCCAATTGTTCTCCTGGGGCCAGGTTACGACATGTCACCATCTGGTTCTCCTCTGGCTAGTCTCTACCAGGTTTGTCCACGATTCCCTCAAAATCCAGGGCCCAGAAATGAAACCAGGGACTGCCACCCTTCCCTTTGGTTACCTACACTTTGTTAGAAAACATGTGTCTTGGGTGGTGGGCACACAGTGCTATAAAATCTCTAACATAGAAATCCACACCTGAAACCTATATGATCCTATTAACCAATGCCACTCCAATAAATTTAATTAAGAGAACATCTATCTCTGATGCACGTGCCAAATGTGGTTTTCACACTGGCCTCGTGGTGTTCTCACTGCACACAGCGTCCCTTGCCTCCGTCTAGATTTTGATGACCTGAACCCCTTTCTCTTGCTTTATCCTAGTCAGGTTTGATGAGGAAAGGAAAAGAGAGCTTGTATGCAGGGCAGACCGACCTGGGTCTGTTTGTCTGTCTGCACATACACACAGACACAGTGTCATCAGTATTCCATAAAGTGTTTTAATAACTGCATATTAAATTTTTCATGGAAACTTGTAGCCATTTCTGGAAGCGGAGGCAGCCTTAAGGACTTTTCTCAGGTAAATATTAGTTCTGGAAGAGGACCCCCCACTTCTGTGTGGCCCAATTTGTCTCTTCTGAGTGGAAAAAAGTTGGAAGGAGATCATAGGAATCCTCTGCTTTGCTGTGTTCGGGGTCTGTTTGAGGCGCCAGCGAAAGGAAAGAATGTAACATTCAATCTCACACCCCCTTTTTAACACTTCCTTCAAGGTCAGCAATAAAATAAAAAATCCCTCTTCTCCTCGCCCTGCCTCCGATCTCAGCAGTAACTCCTGTAGGCAGGTAATTGAGCGGGTCCTGGCCATTGCCTCGCATCGGGCTGTTCTGTTCTTTTCTTTGGACTCAAGAGGAAGACCTTGGCGGGACAAACAGCAGAGTGGGGCTCCTCTGTGGTTACTGAGTAACTCTGAGCTGAACTCTTCCACGGAAATTAGGCAAAACATCTGGCACAAATGCCAGAGTCATCTCCACGTCTCCCGGGTTTCCAGTAGACCAGGTGGTTATGACGTTTTAATTTAGGTGAAATAAAATTTACCACACTAAACCCTGAATTATCATTTGGACAGCTTTCAGGCGAGCTTCTCAAACCACGACACTGGAATTTGTCCAAATTCTCACAACCGTTAGAAAGTTCAGTTTGGGTTTCAGGGAAACCAAATCAGAACAAATATTTACTGAACGTGTCCAGTGCCAAGACCACTAGGTCTTCAGTGTACCAGGTACTCGATAAATATTTGTGTTTGAAGAAACCCTGGTTTGGAGTAGTTCTGCTGATTAACAGGGAAATATTTTAAATTACTTCCAAGTGGAACGTTATCAAGCAAAGTAAAAATGCTTACTGATTCAGGGGAGTTGACGCCTTGTATCAACAGAAACACGGGGCAAGGGTGTTCTTGAGAGGCTGAGCGCAAGACAGCTGCATGGAGTCAGAGCTCACGGCTTCTATGAGCAGCAAGTTGTAGGTGGTGGAAGAGAAACAGGGAAGGGCAGGAGGCAGAGCACAGAGCAGAGCCAGTGGGAGAAAGTTCCCTGGAGAGATATGGGGTGAGCTGGACAGGTTGCCCAAAAGCAATAGGAAGAAACTCATAGTAAAGCTAAGGCCAAGGGTAGGTGTTTTTGTTTTTATTTAAATCCTCACCCTAGAATATTTTTTCTTTTGCCATTCAGAGAGTGAAAGGGGGAGAGGGGGAGGGAGGGGGAGAGAGAGGGGAACACTGATGTAAGACAGACACATTGATTGGTTGCCTCCTGCACAAGCCCGACCAGACCCAGGGATCAAGCCTACAACCGAGGTACCTGCCCTTGACCAGAATTGGACCCGTGACTCTTCAGCCTGCAGGCCAATGGTCTAACCCCTGAGCTAGGGGAATAAGGGTTTTTAAAATTGGTTTTAAAGAGAGGGGAAGGGAGAGGGATAGAAACACCAATGAGAAACATTGATCAGCTGCTTCCTGCACGCCCCCTATTGGGGATTGAGCCAACCCAGGCATGTGCCCTGACTGGGAAAGAACCGGTAACCTCTTGGTTCATAGGTTGACACTCAACCACTAAGCTACTCTAGCCCGGCAATATTTAGTAATTTTAAAGGAAACGCCAGCCATTGTCAGTTAGGCATCTTTAAAAATATATGGAATTTCCTTATATAATCATGCTATCACCACATTGAACAAAAATGTCAGTCCCTGATATTATCTAATACTCAATACTTAATCAAATCATCCTTCCCCAATCATATAAAAAATGCCTTTGTACATTTGGTTTGTTGGAATCAGAGTCCAGTCTACATGTTGCATTTGACTTCTGCATCTTTTTAAGTTTCTTTGAATCTAGACTAGTTCCCTCCCCTCCCTTTTTTCTTATATTTACAGTGATCTCTAAGAAAAAATAAGCCTTCAGTTATCCTCTAACTGCAAGGAATGACTAATGGGTGGGTGTTTCAGGACCATTAGGAGACGTCAGTAAGAACAGAAAGCAAAACTGTATCAGGAAGGTACCAAAGCAGGTTCATGCTGCTTAACTACAGAGAGGTCTTGACTTAAGAGGAGCCGTAGAGCCAGGGCTTTGGCTCTGAGTCATGAAGTCTTGTGGACACCGACCCCAGGGTCTCGGAGCCATCACCTTATTCCTAGTGTGCAGCATATTTAAGGCTGGACCAAACCTGAGCTCTCTGCAAAACGGGCTACTACAGGTATGTGTTTGCCTGTGCGCATCACCTACTCCCATTTTTCACCTAAAAAGAAAAAAAGGTGTAAGAAGTTAACCCCACGGTTAGAATGAGATGGCGCAGACTCACTCACAGAAAAGATGACACAGTCTCTCCTCATTAATTTATCATTTAATATAAATGCTGACAGAAAGCAGATAAAGACCTTGTAGACACTTTCATTTATTTACAAACCAAAAGGTGAATCACCTCCTTCTACTTGTTAAAAGAACCCTTTTATCTGCAACTCATGGGAGCCCTAAACACTAATTAGGAGCAACATGAGGTTGAGTCAGTTTCCAAGGTAATAAAGAAAGGAGACAGCATTTTAACAAAATGTGGCATCTTAGATATAAAAACATGCACACAAATAATACGAAATTGAAACAGATGGCCCCAATCCTCTCAAAACCTGCAACAAGCAGGCCACGTCCTTACTCAGACCCAAGTTCTGCTGCCCCAAACATCTTCCTACTATTTGTTTTTCGACCTCACTTGATTTGAAGGCTGTTTTAAAAATTGGAACTCTAAACAGATTTAAAGAGAGGAAAATGGTCCATTTCAAACGGGGTTCTTTTCCTTATTCCAAAAGAGCTTCCAGGAAACAAAGTCTTCGAGTAAGATTTCCATTTGGAAATGCTAGGGAGTTATTCACACCTTGTGAGATTCCAACCCACTGTCTGTCTTCACTTTCTTTAAGTTGAAAACACTTGGAAAACGTAAAATTTCACAAACTTCAGGAATTTAAAAATCAGCTCTCACTTTAAGGCTCAATATTTTTATTTTTGAACAGGTGGTGGAGGCAGGCAAGAAAGAACATGGAGCTGAGGCAAGGAAAAAATAGGAATACAGGAAAATTTATTAAAAAGTATTTAGTCTAGCACTGATTTTTAACAATAGGACATTTAAATTTCACTATGCAAAACTGTGATTTCATGAAATCATTCATAATCTGACTCAAATCTCATGGGCTCCTTTATTAACCTAGATTATTTTGTCTTGTTAAATATACCTCTGCAGGGCACAGTCACATACAATCAATACGATTGGTAAATTACACAAGCTCTATCCCAAGCAAGTATGCATCAATGTTAAAAAGTTATTTTTTTTAAAAAAAAACACAAAGTAAAACAAAATAAAATCCACCCAAAAAGGTGATAATGACTGCAGAATGTCTCGGGGAGACTGGTATGAGCCTAAAGACCAAATTGACCATAGTCAGGGGAAAAGGGCAACGGGGGTGACAAGGAAGAGACCACACCCAAGAGGAATCTCACAACTGGAAAATGTTTAAGTGGGTGAGAGATTTTCTTCATTATCTTAATCCACTTTTCCACTGTTCTTGTCCCAAAAAGTCATAGATTCATCATAAAGTAAGGTAATGAGGTCCAATGAATAAAATGAAGAAGAGAAGTTTTTCCCCCCGTCAAGTTCCTTTCATTCCCAGAAGGTGGGAAGAGAAGGGGACAGGAGACAATGAAAACTCAGCCAATACACCTGAAACAAGCAGTTCTCAGGGCAGTGTATGAGTTGAACAGAGGATGTGAAAATAACAAAAGCTTAAATTGCCTTCAAATTAGAGGAATATTTTACAGGGTGGTTCAGATATTATACTAATAAATGATTTTTTTAAATCAGGCAAAACAAAACCACCACCAGACAACCAATTATCCACCCAACAGTTTGTTTCCACCCTTTTCTTGACTCTTTCATGTACCAGCTGGGGTGGGGTAGGGGCTACCTGACAGTTTCCAGTTATAAGATGACTCTCTGGAGTGTACAATCTAGAATGGATGCCAAAGACTTGTGAGCTCTGTCTACTTAGAGTTAAAAACAAAACAAAGCAAAACAAAACAAAACAAAAACCCTAACCAACCAGAAACAGTGAGACCTCAATACAAGAAAATAACTCACCTTATGTAGTATATAATATACTAAACTCCACAGGATTTTGTTTTTCTAAATATACATTTTTGGACACAATATTGTCTTGAGGTTTAAGTTCTCTCTCTTGGGTTATTGTGCCTATTTTCTTGTGAAAATAAAGGTTTTACTCTAGGGATGTTTTTGCTCAGGAATAAAGTTTAGGGGAGATTCAGTGTTCGGCTGAAAGTTCAGAGGCTCTGAAAACAAAGATTCCAGTGGTGGGTAAGTCCCTATATCACAGTAGGATTTCAAAATTCCCTTTACCCACTTGGTTCAGTGCAGTATTGAAAATCCACCTACTGGGAACAGTTATTAGAAGGGGTTCCTTCCTCCTGGTGGTGGCAGTTTCCTATTCTTAACATTACAGGCTAGATTACTTATCAATTAGACTCTATTACATGTGAAATATCTTTAGCAGTCAAAGAAATCTTAAAAAACAAATCTTAAGTTGGTATTTACTATAATTAACAGTACCTTTTGACAAAAACGGCTTTCTTTTTCAAGTGGCTCAGAAAAGTTGAAGAGTTAAAAAAAATATTAACTGCAACCCACCTACAACTCCCAATAAGTCATTTCAGCAGGAAAATTTCATAAAGCTGAGCTAAAGCAACAAATAAATATAAAAATCACAGCTGTCCAAGGTAGAGAGACTGTGGGCTGGCAAACAGGCACCTGGATAAAACGACAACAGTAACAGACTGCTTGCTTGTCCAATCCCTAATGTTGAAAGTGACTGTTTAGAGCTCTAATTTTTATCTACAAGGACAGGCAGATTTTTCAGGAAGAGAACACTATACCAAATAAAAAATAGAACTGGACTCTTTTAAGGTAAAAATCTAAGCAAACACTGCAGTTAATTTCCAGGCAGGTTATTAATTTCTCCTAAAAAGTAACGGGGCCTTTCCTTTTAATAAAATATAAAGCATTACAGCTGCTTTTTACAGATAGATTTTTATATATGAAACCTTTACTCAATTCTTAAAAAAGAGCAAAAAGAAAGTGGAAGAAAGATGGTAAGACCTCCACCAATCTTCATTTGTATACAAGTAATAGCAACCAAATACTCTTTAGTGAAAAGAACCTATTTTTCTCTTAATCTGAATAAAATCTGACATACACAGCCTGTAGTTAACTATTTCTCACCAGTCCCATGACTTGACCATAGTGATAGGAAACTGTTCTTTAGGCACAAGTAAAAAAACAAAAACACACAAGATGCTATCATGACAAGACAGTCTCAAAAAAGGGAGAAAGAGACCGCTTATACATAATATTGTACAAGATGATATTCCCTGATGAAAGAGAAACTGATGAATTTTCATTACTTTTACATTTTATAAGGCCAGCTAACTTTATCAGTTAACTTAGATAAGTCTACTTACACAGTACAATCAACTCACAAATACTGAAAGGTTTCACAATCAAAATGGCTACTTCCCCCAAACCAAAACAGAGTAAAGCACAAGTCTTTGGCTCTCCTTTAAAAAAGAAAAAAGAAAAAAACAGCAGGTTACCATTCTGAACCAGACCTTTGTTTGCCTACCAGTAGGGCAAATACCACATTTGTGCATCACTGAGTAATAACACCATTAGAAAAGGCAACTTCACAGAAGTTATTGGCTAAGCGAATTCATTTGAATGCTCTGTTTTGAGGCAGCAAACTGTCACTGTTGCAGATTGGGGAGGGCAGTGGGTAAATCAAGGGCAATTTGCAAGATAGAAAAGGGCCAGGAAACAAAAAAAAGGGAGAGAGAGAAAAACAACTTTGAGCTCCAACCCTGAAGACCTATGGAAAGTCTGATGAAGTTATACAAAGTGTAACTTTCTAGGTAGCAAATGAGAATCATACCAATTTTGTGTCTTTTAGGCAAAAGAAGAAATACATGAACAGTGAGAAGGCAAGGGAAACGGATGAGGAAGGGACTCAGCCACATTAATGCTGTACCAGGTAAGTTGTATACATTCTGAGTAGTTGAATATTTGTAGCTGGCATTAGAAATAGTGTCTTATCATTTGAGTAATATTAGTATAAACCTATGCTATAACTAATTTTTTATTAGAAAAGTAATAAGGAATGGCTCTTTGGTCAAGTTAGCTTCTGTAAATTAGCCAAGACAAGAAAATAGGGCAGCTACTGGACTTACCTTGTAACAGTATCTATCAGTAAGGCAAAAGAACTACATGTAAGAAACAGAGTCTAGACATCTTATTGTCAGTTCTTCTACACTGTGCCAGAGACCCCGTGAACAAATATGTCATAGTACTTTTATATTCCAGCTATAATAAAATCCTGGTTTTACCTAAACAAGAGTGAACATGTGATTATTCCCACCCTGGCCCTCTCAGAATTGTTCATGTTCATCTGAGATGTCCGACCGAGTCTTGCTTTTGAATTCGGTGAAAGCAAATAGTCACCTTAAAGAGAAATTAATATTTTAATAAGTAGAAAGCATAAAAACTGTATTTCCGTATTTCCCATATGACCGGTTTACCCTCTTAACTGTTTTTAATGGCATAAAATTTAAAAGCTAGAAAAATCAATGCCTTTCACAGATTTTTGACAAAAAAGGCAGTTAAAGAGTTAAGTACTTTTGCCAAAACAGGCCACTTCCTCTTACAGGCTCATCGTATCATAACATATATCACAGAAAAATGGAAAAGGGAAAAAGAACCCCAAACTTCGGAGACTTTATCCTAAAACTGCTTGTGAGCACTAGGAAAGTTGTAAGAGTACCCAAGAAGGAAGGCAGAATGACCTATTTAAGGTGGGCAGGTTACGGGCACATGGACAGTACCCTATTCCCCTGCCTTTCCACACAGCCAGCTTTCCTTAAAAGCATGGGGCCTTAGAGAGGTACAGCGAGAATTAAGGCTACAATTTCAGAGACCTCCCTACCCTCCAAATAAAAATAACTAAAAAAGTAAAAGAAACTATTTTAAATCAATTCAAAACAGTGGCTTTCCTGGTTTTATTCAGTAAAGGAACACTATATAAATTAATCCCTGTTCCTGAGTAGTTTTGAAAATCAAAATGGTGAAAGCAAGAAAGAGTGCATTTGAAGGGCACAAGAGTAACAGAAGTTATTAGGGCTACAATATAGACCCAATGGAATTTTACTTTTATTCTGAACTTTAACAAAATCAGTATCCCTAAGTTTCCTTCTAATACCAGAATCATTTTGAGCTCCAAATTGAACCAACTGCTTCTAAAATTTAGGAATCACCTAACATGTCCAAAGGAGAAGTAAGATCTGCCCAACTCTGCCTACAGAAGGTTGCAGGCCAAGAACGTTGCCTTTTACGGTTATACAGAGAAATGAAAACTCTTACTCTGTCAGACACACAAAGTTTCTCTCCTTCTCCCCCAAAACTTAGAGTAAATATAAGAGGGTTTTAAGCAAAACCAAAAAAGCACAAAAGCAAGTATATTAACAAAACAGAAAAATATGGACTTCAAATGGAAAAAAAATGCCTTATCTTCATTCAGTGCTTCTACCTCCCAATCAGTCATTTTATCGCAACAGCTGCGCTCATGCGAAATAATCCTTAAAACATACCCAATATATATACAGATATAGCTATGTATATATGTATATATATAATATATATAAATTTTTATTTAAATAAAAAAGAAAGCTCGAATCCCAAGCCAATATGTGTATATCAAATCCTTGACCAGCCAGGTCTGTAGGGCATAATCAAATTCAATGTGAAATAGTATATAAACACGGTGCCTTGACTGGGCAAATTAAATAATCGCTACTCAAAAGAGTGTTCTGTTTGGACTCTCCTACTGGTAGGCAACTGCAGGACTGTATTACCCTCCCCCCTCCCCCAATCTGATTCACTTAACAGTATGATGGACACAGAGCTTAGACTGAGGCTGTTATGACCTCAGCAGGAGTTCTGGGTTAAGAAAATAAGAAACAAGAAAAATACAGACTCTTGCTTTTACCCAACCAAAGCAATGCAGTAACTTATTACATAACCAGTGCTTTCTGTTTTAGAAGTATAATCCAGAAAGGGAAATTTTACAAAACAGGCAAACAGAGGGATGGGGAGGGCGACTATACCCAATAATCCACACCCAACATGTTTTATAGGGTCTTAGTTCAGTACAGACATGGGCCATCAGAATATGTGCAGCAGAACTAAACAATCAAAATTTTTCTTTTTTCTTTTCAATGTTTTCATGAAGAATCTTTTCAGTATTATAAAGCCAAGTCTATGGAAATTAACTTCTAGGTACTTACTGCCTACTTGTTCTAATGATTCTGAACAGCCACAACTGGTCAATTCACAAACTACCCTCAGGATCCAGGAAAATCTCTGAAAGCCAGGAGCGCCAGTATATAGGGATTTTACTTTGTACTTTTGGGTTTTAAGGGTAAAACACAAGCATCCAGTGAAATAATGTGGCTCTGTTCATTTTAAGTTCAAATCAAGTGTTGCAGTTTTAAAACATGGTTGATTGTGCTGTTTTGTTTTTTTTAACATTCTCTGATTTCAAAGTTCAATTTGGAAAAGCACTGATCCAAATTTCCAACCATCAGTTCAATGTAGGTCATACACTAACGATGTATTTCCAGTGCTGATAAATTACAGTTCATTCTTAAAATAATATCCATTTAAATCCAACCAACAATCTAAGACACTGGCACGGCTTTCTGATCACATTAAGAGAATGAAAAGGACCCATAACATGGACCTGAGGACTTCAAAAATTTATTGTCTGGCAATTATCTCTGAAAAGTTAAAAACAAAAACAAGAAATAAAACCCCCCTAAACAACAAAAAAAGTTTAAATGACATAGGAAAACATACCTAACGCATGAAGATAGTGACCCAGAGAGGAAAGGGTAATCATGGCTTCCAAATGACAGCTCTCAGAAACCTTGGTTTGCTGCACATTTTCTAATAACTGGTCTGTTACTGTCTTTTTGTTTGTTAAGCACCATACAATTCTCAGAAAAGCCGGTGCTTTTTGTCTGTTTTAATTTACGGGGTTGTGAGAGTGGGAAAGGATTGAGGAGAAGGAATTATACACTGGGTATGTAATAATACCAAAATACAAGAAAAACCTACTTCATTAAGATCATACAATTAATCAAACAGAGTGTATATATAATATCTTCTTTTTTTTAAAGCCCTGGATCCAAGGCGTCCAAAGTTATTAAAATAAAGTTCATTCACAGAACAAAAACAAATTTAATCTGAATTGCTTGCAGATACTGCTAATTTCCTTTTTCTTTTTCTTTTTTTTAAATTAAAAAATGCATTAATGTGATCTATGTGCAGGGTTTGTTTTTAGTAGTGGTGTTTGTGCACATTGCCTCCGGTGCTCTTCCTGGACTTCTCTGACCACTCTCAGAGAAGAAGTTAAGAGGTTACTGTTCTTCTACCCCTATGCCCCACAAATTGATTTGGAGCAGAAGATAAAAGTACGACTCCTCAGCTTTTAGGGAGCAGAAGTGGGAGTAACTCCTGATCTCTGGGAATCGTTGTTGTCTCCTCCTCCCTCAGGGTCCTCTGACAGGTTCAGAGAGCTGGTCTTGTTGGACAGGAGGCTGATATTCTCTTGTGTCAAGGCTGATCCATTCGGTACATCACTGTTAACATTAAAAAAAAAAAAAAAAAAAGTTAGAATTTTTAAAAAGGAGATAAATGATTATTTAGTAGAATAAAATCAACAGGGCTATTCTTTCAGCAGTATGGAGATTGTATAAGTGGCTTTCATACTTTAATTTACAGCTCTATATCCATGCTTTGGCAAAGAGGTTGGCAAACTAAGACTAGTTGCTGCCAGTTTTTGTACGTAAAGTTTTATTGGAACACAGCCTCCCCATTTGTTTACATGTTGTCTATGGCTGCTTTCACTACAATGGCAGAAATGAGAGTTTTGACAGAGACTGTAAAACACATAATTTTAAATATTCACAATATGGCCTTTAAGAAAAATAATGCATGAATTTAAATAGCAATAGGGCATTAGCAGTTATTGTTATATATTAACAGGAAGGCAACACAGGACTATGTATCAAAAGTCTCAAAATGTGGGAAGGAAATACTTAAAGATGTACAAAGAATTAACTTCAACATCATTTACTGCAGGGTGGTTCATGATATCTGACAGGTATCCTTTCAGACCTGTAGAAGAATTATTAGATGATATGGGATAGGCCAAATTAAAAACCAGGGGGATGGAGTGACGGGTGGGTTTTGAAATAGGCTAAATTCCTTTCAAACACTTTAAAAAGACCGGAAAAGTATACATCGAAATGTAAACATTGGTTTCAAATAAATTAAAAAACAAGGGGAAGCCCAACCAGTGTGGCTCAGTGGTTGAGCATTGACCCATGAACCAAGAGGTCACCAGATTGATTCCTGTTCAAGGCACATGCCCGGATTTTGGGCTTGTTATCCAGTAGGGGGTGTGTAGGAGGCAGCCAATCAATGTTTCTCTCTCTCTATCCCTCTCTCTTCCTCTTTCTCTAATTAAAAAAAGGGGGGCTGGGGGGAGAAGGAAACGTAACCAGAAAATTTCCATTAGGTCTTAACAGATAATTCAATCTTGGATCTGTTCTAAAATAAAATTTTAAACTCCTAAATTTATGTAAAAATATTCTTTTCTCAATGTATAGAGAATAATGATATTTCAAAAATCAAATCACATTTCTAAGGGTAATTCTATCATGCCTGGGTAATACACGCCTACGAAAATGTCCCTTTCTTTACCTGAATGCCAATGTAAGGTCCTCAGATGGAACCTTCCTTTGCGGCTCCGGTTGTCCATCTTCTGCTTGCTTACTTGTATTCAATTTGCTTTTTGTATCAAGAGAGCACTGGTTCTCCTTTGAAAAGAAGGAAAAAAGTTCAATTAGCTTCTATTTAACGGGGCTAATGGGAGAGAGACCAAACACAGATAATACAAACTGATGATCCAAAAATCATTTAGTTTTATAAAATGACTAGAGAAATAGGCAGGCTAAAAGAGACATACACAAAAATACAATCGAGTACAAGCCACTCGCTCACTATCCAAGCTGGACGTTACTGCCTCAACTTAACGTGGAAATAACATAAACGAGGACTTAAGAGAAAGCAAGCCAAATATAATATCTATGTATAATCTACTTAATTAAGCAGAAAAACTGCCCCATTTATTTGCTTAGAAAAATGCGAAAACTACACAACAAAAAAGTCAGTTACATGCAACCCGGGGGAATGGTTCAGTCCCTTAAGATTCAAAACTTACTGAAATGAATGTTAGTGCACTCTGAAGCAAACCCTAAGCACATTCATGGATACAGTTCCACAGGAAAAAATGTGTAGACTGCAACTTACAACAAAAGCCAAATCATCAAATCATCAATAACTTAAGGGCTATGAAAACTAGAATGCTATTTGGTAACACTTCTTTATATAACATGATGGTATTGGCAAAATCATAAGCACCACACCCCCACCGCTTCCCTAATCAGTATGTTTAACAGAAATGTAATAACTTTCAATTAACTACCTTGTTTCCCTTAAAAATTTTTGTAATGCAGAATCCTAAGACAAAGAACACTCTCATATCAAAAGGGAATGAGGAGAGGAATGATACAATAGGATGGATGCCCATGTTCGTGAGACTTAGTCACTGGAGTGCTTTGGGGTGATGATTCTATAGTTCTGGATGATTCTAGAACTCTAGAGCCATGAGTTCTGTGACACAACTACATACAAGTTTTCCTTTCACCTTCTCTCTCTTTTCCCACAACACTCACCATACTCAGTTCCCGGGTTCTCTTCCCGATTTCCCTTTCCACCTGGTGCAGTTCCAAGCTCAACTGCTCACTTGAGATCATTCCAGGCCATTTTGGAGGTGGTGGTGGTGGTGGTGGCTGTGACTGGCCTGCCAGGCTGTTCGCCTCCCTCTGCAACACCAGCCTGTTACTAACAGCCTAGTGCATGAAGCCAAGCACATACACAACTCAACACATTTCACACCATGCACAGAATGGCCAGGCCTGATTCCAGACCATAGCCATAAGCAGCTTGTCACTCAGGTATTTGCAATAAAAATGATGCAACTGTAAGGTACTCTCCCCTTCTCTGAGTACCATTTGAAAAGAAAAAAATAGGGGATTTAAATTTAGTAAATAGTAATTTGATCTTAGGTATAAGTTGCTCTTAGAGAAGTCAACATTAAATGTACATTCTCCCCCTCATTTATTGAATTTTTCTCTGAAGTAAATCCTACAATTTATTTCAATGAAACCTCATGAATGGCTAGGACCTTTAACCACAGTTGAGTTAGATACGTGGCAAGCTGCCAAATGATGCTGATATTCTTTTGGGACAGAAAATGAGTCTAGAAATTTCAACCAAAACAAAACCATAAATTAGCAGTAACACTGAATTTGGAGTTTGAAGACCTGGGCTCATGTTTCAACCTCTATAAAACTAATAAACTTCAACCAAAAGAGAGGAATAACAACATCTGCCTAACCTACTTGTCAGGGACATTTTAAAAACTAAATAACATGTAATAATTACCTATAAACTAAAAGAACTGTATTAATGAAGGTGCTACTTTTATACAGAGGCTATTTTTTAAAGTCAAAGATCTAAGCTTCTATTTTTTTAAAGATGTATAAATAAATGCTGGGAATTAAAGGATATGAGACAAATTTTAAAAAGTTAAAGAAGCCTGGCCGGGAGTGGCTCAGCGGTTGAGCGTTGACCTAGGATCCAGGAGATCGGGGTTCGATTCCTGGTCAGGGCACATGCCCGGGTTGTGGGCTCGATCAATGACTCTCTCATCATTGATGTTTTTGTCTCTCTCCCTCCCTCTCCTTTCCTCTCTGAAATCAATAAAGATATATTAAAAAAAAAAAAAAAAGTTAAAGAAATATGAGACATTAAAAACCAATTTTAAACTAAAGCACATGTTGATAAACACCTAATGGGAAAATGTAGATAACCTCTCTTCTATTCTCAGGTAATAAAATTCTAAGTTTCGCACCGTCCTAGAACTAAACTCTAAGTACTTCAATTCTTTTAAGAATGGACACCTATATAACTCTTAAAAAGTAGTACCTCGAAAGACCCTCCTTTCAAAATCTCTTTGAGCACCCTTCAAAAACTGTAATAAAATAGGCTGGTACCTCTAGTCCACGGAGCTGGGTCTGTTGGCTAATCTGATGGTTTAGTTGCTGCAATTCTAGTCGTAGCTGTTCCCTGTCAGCAGATGGAAGGGTTTTGCCATGACTGCCCACTTCTGACATGGATATTCTCTCCCTTTGGTGGGAAAAAAAGCATGGAATTAAATTTTTATTTTTAAAAAAATACCAGAAAAACAAAATAAGAGAAGTTGAATAATTGTAAAGGGTTGTAAAGTAAAAAGAATGACACATACCTCTCACTGAAGTGTCCCTGAGAAGGTATGTTTTGATGAGGTGAGTAGGGAGACCCTCCCCAGCCACCGTGGGTTCCATATGGACTGTAATCTGTAAGAGAGTAACTCACTGTAATGCAACACAATCCACAGATTTGACTCTCCTAGGGCAGCATGGTCTAAAAGGCACGGGTGTGGTGTGTACACAGCTATCTGGAAGATGTCTCCCAGTATAGTAACCGGGCACTGATGTGTTTTTCTCCCCGATGAAACATCAGTCTTTGTGATTTTTTGTTTGAATTTTTTAAAAAATGAGGATGTATTATTTTAATAAAAAGCAATAAAGCTATTAAAAAGTAGGCAATCTTTATATAGACACATTTAATTTTAGTTTGTACCCCTAGAATTGCCTGTGTTATAATTACCTTTCTACAGGAATAATTCCATGGAAAAGTCTAAAGATGACCGTCTTGAAAGATGGAAAAGTGCTGACAGTAAATGGGTAGTAGGGAGGGTGCTGGGGGTCATGTCTATGAATCCTCTAGTTGAGCTTACCCCTGAGATTCTTACCTGAAATGTTAATAGATTTTGTGGGAGCTCCCTGAGGTGCCATAGCCTGCATTGGGCCAGCACCCTGATATATTGTTTTGGAAGTTCGAGAGATGGCACCAAACCGAGATACTGTTGGTCGGTCTCCAAATGGGATGAGGTCATCATCACTGGTTTCTGTGGTTCTTCTCTGATGATCCAACCGCTGGTCTCTCATTCCTTTACTCTCCACATTCTGATAAGTAAAATGAGAAATCCACCCCACAGTTAGGTCTCTAATATAATTTCCTCTAGCTCTATACCCAGGTTGAAAAAGAGTATAATGTTCTGGTAAGACTAAAATCATTAGTTGCCTTTGGTTGTCATATAAGACATCACTTTTTAAACCTCTGACCATTCCACAGTAAGAAATATAGTTTACATCATGACCCAGCCCATATATACATTCAAATATAATTTCATGACAAATACCCTTACTATATGAAATGTACTCTTGTATTTATATTGTTATTCTAATTCATTTCTTTTTTTAATATATTTTTTTATTCATTTCAGTGTGAGGAAGGGAGAGGGAAAGATAGAAACATCAATGATGAGAGAGAATCATCGATCAGCTGCCTCCTGTACTCCCCCTGCTGGGGATCGAGCCCACAACCCAGGCATGTGCCCTGCCTGGGAACTGAAATGAACCATGGCCTCCTGGTTCATAGGTCAATGCTCAGCAACACAGGCCGGGCTCTAATTCATTTCTTTAAAGAAAGGCTCATCATGACCCAATCAGTTAATTTCAAAACTCAATAGTTAGAAACACACTGTTTGAAAAATATAAGTGCCAACACAGGTTTTTCAGAGGGATTCCAGTCAGAAAGAAATAAGTACCAAAATAAACAGAAGTAGAAATCTAATTGCCAGACCCTTGCTACTCAAAGTATATAGTGTGGAGACCAGCAGCAACAGCATTGTTTGGGAAGTCATTAGAAAAGTACTCTCAGGTCCCACCCCAATCTCACTCAACTTGAACCTGCATTTTAACAGATTTGTAGGTAATTTATGTGGACATTCATATCTGAGAGACACTGTGCTAGACTTCTTTCACCCATTTAGGAGATTTTCAATTACATCCAGGTTAGGTTTGCAAACCTTTTTATTATTTACTGATTTAAGAAAATGAGTTTTGCCCAGCTGGCATGGCTCAGTGGTTGAGCATCAACCCATGAACCTGAAGGTCATGGTTTGATTCCTGGTCAGGGCACATGCCCACATTTTGGGCTCCATCCCCAGTAGGGGGCATGCAGGCAGTAGCCAATCAATGATTCTCTCTCATCACTGATGTTTCTATCTCTCCCTCTCCTTTCCTCTCTCTGAAATCAATAAAAACATATATTTTAAAAAATGAGTTTTATTTTGCTAATATTTGTTACTTTAATATAATAACCATTTCTAAAAGCCAGGTACAAAGCAAGGGTTCCTGTTTATCTCTACCTCCTCATTTCATTCCTGTTCTTAGACAGGCTGTTTTCTATGGCCTAAAAACATGTCCCTAATCCCACCATAGAAAAACAAAAAGTTCGCCCGGCCGGGCATGGCTCAGCGGTTGAGCGTCGACATAGGATCCAGGCTATCAGGGTTCGATTCCCGGTCAGGGCACATGCCCGGGTTGTGGGCTCGATCAATGACTCTCTCATTATTGCTGTTTCTGTCTCTCTCCCTCCCTCTCCTTTCCTCTCGCGGAAATCAATAAAGATATATTTAAAAAAAAAAAAAAGAAAAACAAAAAGTTCATTTTTGCTTCTTCCTCCTCTATACCCCTTTCTGTCTATTTGTCTGCCTCCCTCTTTCTCTCCCTCCTTTCCTCTCTCCCTCCCTCTGGCATCTAATTATATTTATGCTATACATATCACTTCATTCATTTATAGCAGTATTAGCATCTAAGTCTTCCTTTTCTATTACCAAGAATTGGTTTTCTTTTAACCAACTGACAAGTATTTGTCTATGAAAGCCAATATAATAACCTAGAAAACCTCTGTTACAGTTAATAAGGGCAAATGTTTAACAATAGTCGAGGCATACCTTTCAACACAGCAATACCACTTCTAAGCATAATTTTCATGCATGTGCACAAGGAGACATACACAGAAATGTTCATTGTAGCAGAGTACATAATAGTAAAAGATCGAAAATAGCCTAAATATCCAACAGGAAAATAAATAATTCACATATATATTTATTGTAGGATTTCAGTTACCTAATGGTATCGGATAAAAGCAATGAAAATGAATGAACTTGAACTATAGGTATAAATTTGGATACATCTCAAAAGCACTGCTGAGTGAAAATGCAAACTAAAGTATATAAAATATACAAGGTATATAAACATGCAAAACAAAATTGTTTAGGAAGTATAAAATTATACATGAAATGATAATTTAGGGTAGAGGCTACCTCCAGGGAAGGAGGGAAGGGAAAATGAGATTCGCCAGGCAAATAAAGGAGGATTTAACTACTTTTGTAAAGTTTTATTTCTTTAAAAAATAAAGAAGCAATTAAGATAAAATAGTGGTATATTTTAAGCTTGGATACACTGGTGTTACATTATTTTTTGTTAAAAAACAAAATAGCATAAGTGGCACATTTCAGTATACCACAGCTCACTTAAGGCTAAGTAGCTACAATTCTGACTCAGAAACTACTACTGTTCACTAGATTCAACTTTGTTGTTTAAACTTCAAAGTTGTAAAAGACTTATAATTTACTTGGACAAGAAATCAATGATCTTGATTAATTATGCAAAATAATTTAATTTTGGTTCTAAACTGCTAGCTGTGTAGAAATATAATAAATGTTCTTCTTTGTCTAGATAAGTATTAAAGTATTTTTATTTACACCTGAAAAAAAACAAAGAAATAGTTTAAATATAATTCAATCGCATAATATAGAATATGGCCTGAAACTCTTAAGCAAAGCTCAATTATGTGTCTATACTGTAATAGGGGGTAATTTATTTTGTTATCTTGGCTTGTACTAATTATGGCTTAGTTATTACACATACCATCATTTCCACACTCCCTGCTGCCACAACATCTTTGGGTTTTGCATCTTTGGTTCCAATGTAGGAGCCGATGGTGTCACATGACCAGGGAGAGTACTGGCTATAGTCATTTCCTTTGTATTTCCCAGCTACCTTCAAGTCATGTTCATCCAATAACTACAGACAAGAAAAAAAGAAAGAAAATATAGGAAATGGGTCTATGAGTAACAACACAGAAAAAGCAGGGATTTCTTAGATCATGCTGAAACAACATAATGATGGCTATTTATCACAACAGATTTTTGCAGATTATAAAACAAGTGAGGAATGATGTTTAGACTTTACATTTTGTTAGCAGGTCAAAAAAGAAGTAAGTACCCCAGTGTCTTTCTAGGAATCAAGCTAGGCATTTTGAGGTGTGATCATCCTCTCTGTCATTCAATAAAGTCAACAGGTAAGCAAGTACGTACCAAGCCCTCTAGTTTTGCTAAACCCTCCCTTCAATGTTTCTTTCAAGAACATTCCAGATAAACAAGGGCGTTAAAACTATTTTCAATGTTATTTATAGTGCATGTTCTACATAGTTATGTTCTATGTGGTAATAACTTTTACTGAAATCATTTTAACAGTATTAATTCATATCTTGAAAAAATTCTGGTCCTGAGGCTAATTCAATGAAAAGGATAAGATGCCTAATTTTGTTTTCTCAAGATGAGTTCTGAAATTATGTAATAACAGAATAGCCATTGTAGGTCTAACATATTTTTACTAAAATTGTAACATTCGCGCTTGTGTAATGCTTTGCTGTTTTTAAAGTGCTTTTATGCACACTATCTCTCTCATATGTTCCTCAAGTCCATGTGAGACAGCACAGGTGATCTTACCAGGGCTCCACCAGCCCAGGGAAGTGCTAGAACTATAACTTCAATGCTGCTTTTGCTTCATCACAGATACATAACTGATCCCTAAGGGCTACTGGTACACTTAAGTGGCTCTATATGCCCCTCCCCCCACAATCTAAAACAATCTTCTATTTTCTGAGTCATCATTTTTGGTCTTCTGAGTGGCACAGGGTCTGCTGTTTCCAAATATCACTCATTTTCAACCACAACTCCTATTTCTATGGTTAATATGTCTTTTGCTTTTTTTTGTCCTACATCTATTTTAAAAACTCCGTCTCCTTTTTCATTTCTCCTCCACTTACAAACTTCATGTAGAACAGCTAGTTTTTTAGAGACGTGACCTACTAACAAGTACTTTTCTTCTGACCACAATGTATTTTGTGGCTATTAAAAAGAATGAGAAAAGTTTATATACTGACACAGAAAGACAAGCAGGATAATTAGTTAAGTGAACACAAAAATAACAAAAAAATACAAAACACACACAGAACCTCAAGATATATTACTATATGATACTATTAAAAATGTTAGTTCACCCATAGAAAAGTTGAAGTACCTAATAAACTGACAGTGATATAAAAAAATGGGATTTTGGAGAAATTTGTTATGTATTTTTACAATATATAAAGTTACCACAACTCTATGTATGTTGTTTATGATCAGAACTGAAGTTTAAATACAGTTGAGCCATGAACAAGATTCTGAACTGTGTAGGTCCACTATACACAGTGTTTTTAATAAACATACAGTTGGCCCCGTATTCCCGGGTTTTGCATCCGTGGATACAGAGGGCCAAATCTATACATAGTTCTACACCATTTTATACAAGGGCCTTGAGCATCCGTGGATACTGATATGGGGTGTCTGCTGAAACCAACCCCCACAGATATCGAGGGACAACTGTACAGTAGTAAAGATTTTAAGAAGTCAAAAATTACACTCTAATTTTTGACTTCACAGGGGTTGGCGCCCCTAACCCACATGTTGTTCAAGGGTATGTAGCTTTGTATGTCAGTAACTAGTTATTATTCACTGAATGCCTGCTATATGCCATATGCCTTATGTCTCTTTAATCTTCACCATATCACTATGAGTAGGCTTGACTATACTTGATTTACAAATGGAGAAACCTGAGCCTCAGGGTTCAGGGAACCTAGGGAACTTAGAAAAGATCACACACTGAGTGACACAGCTAAACATCAAAGCTGTTTGATTCCAAAATTAGCTCCCTTTTCACAGTGTCATATTGCTGTCCATATTGCTTAAAAAACAGTATGGCATAACAAGGTTCTAGGATGTCTCTAACAGAGAGAGAGAGAGAGAGAGAGAGAGAGAGAGAGAGAGAGACACACACACACACACACACACACACACACACTAAACTTAGGCAGTATGTCTAATAACAAACCAAAATATGTAAGATCAACAAAGCAAAGAGCTGGTTTTTTGAAAAGACAAAGTTGGTAAATCCCTAGCAAGACTGAAAAAAATTACCACTATCAGAAGTGGAAAAATGAATGCCACAATAGACCCTGTAGACATTAAAAAGATAACATTCATTCATGACGACCACTAGCAGTGTCCTGTAGAAATGGAAAGAAGATAACCCCCAATGTTACGGTTTATTGCCCTCTAGCACTTTAATCAGCTTGTTCTAGCAACCTATTTCAGCGTTCTTTTTTTCTGCCATTCACTACTATACTAACCTGTCCTATTCTTTGAATCAACTTTACTATCCTGCTACTTTCCTCATTATGTAAATAAATCTTTGACATATCTCATTTATAAAAATAGTATAAAACTAAGAAGAGGAGAATTTCATTAATTTGATAAAAGTTATCTACAAAAAAAAGCAAACATAATGATGAATTATTAAAAGCTTCAGTCACTAAAGACTGCAAATAAGTCAAGAATACGTGCTCTGATCCCTTGTACTGAATAACAAAACAACTCTGGAGGACCAGCTATCACAAGGAGAGAAAAAAAAAGACATAAAGGTTGAAAAGAAAAAAGAGAAATGGTCACTACTCACTGAGGTTATGACTGTGTGCATAAAAAATCCAAAAAAATCCAACAAATACTGAAATTAATAAGGAAATTTAGCAAGGCTGCTGAATATAAGTTTAATGAAAGATGTGCAAAAATGAAAACTATATGATACATGGCATAATGGAGAGAAATTAAAGATCCAAGTAAGAGGCGAGAAGACCATGCTCCTGGAGACTCAATAGTGACAAGATGTCAATTCTCCCGAAATGGATCTAAAGCAACGCTGTCTAATGGAAATATAATGAGACTCACATATCATTTAAAATTTTCTAGTAGCCACATTAAAAAAATAAAAAGAAACAGGTGAAATTCATTTTAATAACACATATTTTTAAAATTAATACATCCAGAGCATTACCACTTTAACAGAAATATATTAACGGGGTATTTTACTATTGGGGGTACTAAATCTTCAGACCCAGCATATATTTTATGCTTACAGCACATGTGAATTTAAAAAATATATATATCTTTATTGATTTCAGAGAGAGGAAAGGAGGGGGGGGAGAGAGAGAGATAGAAACATCAATGACGAGAGAGTCATTGATCGGCTGCCTAGCCCGCAAGCCGGACATGTGCCCTGACCGGGAATCGAACCCCGATCTCCTGGATCCTAGGTCGATGCTCAACCACTGAGCCATGCCCGGCTGGGCTGGACTAGCCACATTTTAAGCACTCATTAGCCACATGTGGCTAGTGGGTTACACACTGGCCAGCTCAGATCCACAGAGTCAATGTAATCCTAATACAAATTGCAGCAGATATTTTTGTGGACAACAGAATGCTGATTCTGAAATGTGTCTGAAAATTGCAAGGACCAAGAACAGCAAAGGTAACCATAAAGAAGAACAAAACTGAAAAATAAACATCACCAAATATTAAGATGTATTATAAAACTACACTAAGATAATGCAGTATTGGTGTAAGGACATAGAAATATGCATCCAGAAACATATCTAGTCACCTAACCATGACAAAGGTGACTGCAGGACCCTGGGGGAAAGGATGGTCTTCAATGAGACATCCTTTGGGGAGAAAAATTCACCTTGACACCTAACACACTAGAATACAAAAATTCTAGACAGACTGTAGATCTAAATGGGAAATAAAATAGTAAACCTTTTAGAACCAAGGAAAATATTTTCATACCTTGAGAATAGGCAAAGACCACTTAAACAGGACATGAAAACCACACTGATAAGGAAAAAATGAATAACCGAGACTAAAAATGATGCACTTACATCCTCTTGGTGGAAGGTAGGAGGCAATGTTGGTGAAGGTGCAAAAGGAGGTGGAGAGATCACTTTCCGTTCCTCTAGTTGGGCCATTATTTCCTTTCGTCTTCGATGTAGCTCATCTAGACTAGGGTGCGGCTGGGGAGGAGGAAGCCGGCTATAAGGAGGCTCCTGAAAATGAAAAGGTTAGGAAAAACTGAAAAGAATTTCAAAACACATTAATTTATTTAGCACATATTTTAAATAAGCAGTAGCTTGTATACTCATCTTAACATTTGGAAATACCAAGACTTAAAGCAAAACAAAACCCCCCAAAATTCTCAGGATTTCCCAAAAAGCTAAATTTAAGTTTTGTTTTCTTGGCCAGACACCATAATTTCCAAATAGATCTAGGATTGTTAATAAAGCCATCTAAAGTTCAGGAACTAAGAACAGTTACTAGTGAGAGTGCAGAGAGAATTTTTCCCCTTTAATAGTTTAATTTAAAACAAAAACCTACCCAAATTATGACAAGATAAAAATAAAGGCATGCTTTCTTAAAAAACAACAAAAAAAGTCACTCTAAGCAATAAGTAAATTAAATCTATGTAATAATAAGAAAAACCCCAGCATACTCTGATGTACGAAGGTCTGATCTGAGTTGGATGAGGAGCCACTGGATAGTAACCCTCCACCTGTTGGTATCTTTCTCTGGATTCTGGTACATAGGATGGTACTGCTGCAGGTGGAATCTCAATGGGTATGGGGCTTTCTCGAAAAATCTCCTCTCTTGCATAAGACTGAGCAGGGTATACTCGACGGCCATCATAGTGTGGTGGGTACATAGGTGGGTACTGTTGTGGCTGTGTGCCATATTGAGAGTTTACAACACGATCTTGGAGGTAGGGTGGGTAATGATCCAAATAGGGAGGACCGGGCTCAGGAGCAGATGGTGGAGGTCGGACAAAGCGGGACACACACTGTGGTGCAGTGTAGTACACACCTGTATGTTACAGAAGAGCAACCAGAGCAATAGTGAGCCAATCTAGTTTTCTATATGAGACTTTGTCTACTATAATATTTCAGCACTAGATAATTAACAATCCACTCATTTCTTTAGATGTTGCCCCCTCTGCTATATACTCAGGTTAGCTTTATGAAAAATAACATGTAAAAATTGTCCATAAAAGTTACTGGAAAAAAACTAATATAGAATCTACAATAGATTGGCTCTCTCAATTGTTTGACTTTCTTTCAGGTGTGCCTTAACACAATGCAAGCAATGAAAAACACACACAACTACATTTCCCTGAAGCTCAGGTTGCACAAATCACTCACTTGCATGAGAGTTCTGAATGTGCCACTGAGTTACCTGGAAGGAGATCTGGTGCAGACCTAGCAGCTACTGCATCCTCTAGAGTGGCTTCCCAATTTTCAGACTTCTGCCTCAAGTGATGTGATTCTGGAGCTAGCAGTTAAGGACAGAAGTTTCCAATTTTTACTGCTTCTTCACTGTAACAAGGTTCTTTCCGCAGCTAGTTCTGGAACTTACTCTGGGAGGCCTAGCTTAAACCTGCTTTTCCAGCACCTTCCACTGATTTTATAAACACCTAAACTTCCTGCATTAAATCTCTTTCTAGTAATTATCAAACCCTGAGACACTGTGTTTAAGGTCACTTCAACAAGAGTAGTTGGGTTCTTCCTGTAACGGATGGCTAAAAGGAAGATACAGCCAGGCTGGGCATGGCTCAGCGGTTGAGCATCGACCCAGGATCCAGGAGACTGTGGTTCGATTCCCAGTCAGGGCACATGCCCAGACTGCAGGCTCAATCCCCAGTCTGGGGCCTGCAGGAGGCAGCCGATCAATGATGACTCATCATTGATGTTTTTATCTCTCTCTCTCCCTTCCTCTCTCTGAAATCAATAAAGATACACTTTTAAAAATAAAAAATAAAAAGTGGGTGTTTATTTTTTTCATATGAATTATATACATGAAACCTCAGTCATCTCCTCTCCTTCATTCTCTATACCTAGTATTATCATTAAAACTGGCTAGTTTTTCAAATCTGTCTAGTTTCTAAAATCCCTCTTCTTCTTTCCCACAATATTAATTCAGATCTCAACACTCACACCTAGATTAATAATGGTCTTTCTCCTTAGTGACTCTAGTCTCATTTTTGCAATCCACTAGTAAATTATTCTTTCTATTCCCGCACCCTCTACTTAGGGCATTTTCCCATAAAGTCCCTTTAATTCCTCAAGCTCTCTGATCTCCCCTGAGTCTTGCAGTTAATTTCTACCACACTAATATTAACCACCACAATTGAACATCTAATTTTTAACACACATATATAGGCATATATATGTTTGACTGTACTTCACTTATTGAGTTTCACAAATAACTGCTTTTTTTTTTTTACAACTTGACAGTCTGTGGCAACCCTGAAGAGCAAGTCTACCAGAGCCATTTTCCCAATAGGCCCAGATGATGGTGAGCATTTTTTACCAATATAGTATTTTTTAGACATAATGCTTATCACACACATTAATAGACTACAGTATAGTGTAAACATAACTTTTATATATACCGAGAAACCAAAAAAGTTGTGTCTTACTTTACTGCGGTGGTCTGAAACAGAGCCTGGACTCTCTCTGGGGTATGCCTGTACACATACACATGCTCACACACACAGTTTTCTATTCTTTACTAATACTGATTCTACACTATAAACTCTCTATATGTATGCTGCCTTTTTCATATATACTTCAGGACCCAGAAAAATATTAGGTGATAACTGATAGAAAGAAAAATATACTGGGTATAGTGGTTATTTACTTTATACCCACTATAATATTGAAAAAAATTTTGGTCAGGAAAATATATACTGCCTTAGCAAATTTCCATTGTCTACTTGGGTGATTTGTTATTTCCATAAATACAGGGGTGGGCAAAAATAACAGTTGTGAGTAGGGAAAAGAGGTTAATCTTGTATTATTATTTATTAATCACTGTACAATTTCCTTGGATTACAACTGTAAACCTATTTTTGCCAACCCCTGTATATGAACATAATTAACTATGACTGCTTTTAGGAGTTAAGGCAATTTTCTTTTATAGCTCTGCTACTTCATTTATTCATAAAATCTGTTTTTTCCAAAGTATTAAAAAATACACTTATCTTAAGGAGGCCACTGCAAATATGATCACTCTTTCTGGAATTGGTCTCATAACTCCTAAGAAAAGTGAGCGCAATAAAGGAAAGATCATTACCCTGCTGATACGGTGCTGGTTCAAATGGTGGAACGGCTCCTCGAGGATCCTGATAATACACATCTGCCTGCTGTGCAGGATATAACTGTGAACCCCGTGGTACCATCTGAAGGGGTTTGGTGACAGGCATAGGAGGCAGGTCTGTTGGTCCCCTTGGAGGTACAGGATGCGGATTCACAGGTAAGGCAGAAATACTCTTGGGGACAGCTTCTAGCCTATGGGAATAAAATTGTGCAAGTCAAGTTTAAGGTCTCTCAATGTACATAAATTGTTAAACATTAAAAAAAAAACTGTCATGATTTGAGCAACTGTTTTCTTCCAAGTCATTCCTTCTACAAAATTTACAAACTTTGATCTTATTTCACCCACGCTTTCTTAAAAATCAGTAACACAAGAAATAGAAATGAAAAACAACAAAATGGCCAAAATGAATTTAAAAGAAACACTGATTATTCTTCCTTCCCTCTACTTTGTGTTTACAAAGAAACTTTAAAAGTTAAGAAAATGACATACAGATCAGGAGGGGATCCAGGGGCACTGCTGCTCAGATGATCTATCTTTCCTGGTTTCAGACTAGAATCGTAGCTGGGGTCTGTCCCTCGTGGAATTAGCTGCGTTACTGTGTTCCCTGCTGACACAATCCCATTGGGCAGAGCAGGGGGTTTTCGGCTAGGCAGATCCACTGCACCTTCGTCTGGAAGGATAGCTGCTGAAGGCAGGCCCACCTCATTAAGCTGACCCAAAGAGGCACTCAGGGGTCTTCTGGGAACCAGGCGTTTGTTCATTTTACGAAATCTATATAAATGGCAAAGGCACACACCAAAACCAAAATTACAAAAGCAAAACCAAGAACACAAATGTATTTTATTCAAATCCTTTTTGGAATCTTTGGATATAATCACAAGGTGTTTCTTCTCTAACCTATATTAACTAATATTGTACTACCTTTATAGTTAGCCATGGAATCTATTTTAATGTATTACTGAATTCTAAGTTTAATATTTGGGATTTAAAAAATGTTAATATGTGAGATGAATTTGTAGTTTAATTGTGCTATGTTTATCAAACTTAGTATTATTGGTTTTACAAAAAATAAAAGGTTTTTCTTTCTTTCTACTATGTGCTGGAAAATTTAACATCATTAGAATTATCAGGTCCTTGAAATTTGAATGAAATCTGTGAAACTGAACCTGGAAATAAAATAATTTCTTTAATAGAGCAAAGAGTCAATTTTTCCATTGGTAATGCACTATTCAATTAGTTAAAATGAGTCAGTTAAAGCTGATGAAAATTCTTAGAACTTTCATTATTTTGGTAGTGAGAATCACTTACTCCTAGATTCAATTAACCATAAACGGTTTCCTACTTTTAGGCATGATATAATGAAAGCTGAAAAAACTACTTGTTTTTTTCAAAATTCTGTATTACTGCCTGGCCGGGCATGGCTCAGAGGCTGAGTATCGACCTAGGATCCAGAAGATAATGGTTGATTCCCAGTCAGGGCACATGCCCAGATTGTGGGCTTGATCCCCAGTCGGGGGCCTGCAGGAGGCAGCCGATCAATGATGACTCTCTCTCATCACTGATATTTCAACTCTTTCTCTCCCTCTCCCTTCCTCTCTCTGAAATCAATAAAGACCTATTTATTTTTTTAATTTTAAAAATAAAAAAATTCTGTATTACTTTCTAAACATTTCCTGTTCATGAAAGAGAATGTACCTACTTACCCTTCTTGTGGTTTTCAAGGGCAGCAAGTTTTCCTACTGAACAATTCTACCTTATTCTGTTAGGAGGCTGAGTCTAGTGACTGTCTGCACTTACTTTTCCAGTTCCTCCTGCGAGTGTGCAAACGTACAGCTGGCCCCCCGAGGGCATCCTCCTCTCTGCTTCATGTCTCGACACATGTATGTTTTGTATTTGCTGTGTTGTGGAGGCTAAGACCAAAATTAAGACATTAAACATTAAAAACAGATGAAAAATTTTCACTGCCATTTTAGGATCTTGATAATCTAGATAAATAATTCAGATTGATTCACATACTTACCTAGACTGCCCAGAGCAAAAACACTGGAAAGTCATTCTGTCTGAAGTCTCAGAGTCCCAAAATAAGTAAGTTAATTATAAAGAATGTACTCCAGATTTTCTGATATGTTCTCAAACATGTACTATCACATAAATTCTTGATTAAATCTCATGGGAGTTCTATGATCTTCTTTCCGGGTTTTATAATGAACCAACCACTGGAATTTCAAATGTTTAAACTGTCTTCTAATACTTGTTTTGAACAAAGTTTAGTAGAGTACACTTATGTTTTTTATAACACACCACAAATCTACAATAGGTCCTATAACTGACAAATATTCTGTAACCAATTCTCGACATGTAGATTAAATCAAGGACTCAACGTATCTCCAAAGGTACAAATGAAACTCATTATTTACAACTCAGTAATAAGGCAGGACAACGAATTTGGGAGTTAATATCAAACATGATACTAAGCAAAATAAAATTTAATGTATTTTATCATTTACTGGTAGAATTTAAAGGTTAACCTTACTATTTTTGTTACATTTTTCACGTCTACTAGAACAGGGAGTTAACAATAGGTTTTAATTTCTTTTGTTTCTGAATCAAAACATCTGTGCTTAGATTGATTAGGATAATTATATCCATATTATTCTACTTAGGACAGTTTTAATATTTCTTGCTTCCCAAACAAAATAATAGTAAATAATCTATCGTTAATATTTACCTGAGCCAGATAAATTAATAACAAAGTTTTAATTTCTCAAGTTTACTACAAAATAAAAAAAAAAATAAAAAGTGAACCTAACATAGAACCTGAGAGCAAAACAAAATTTTGGAGAGTAAAATTAAAAACTCCAGCCACGCCCAGCTGGGCGTGGCTCAGCGGTTGAGCGTCCACCTAGGATCCAGGCGATCGGGGTTCGATTCCTGGTCAGGGCACATGCCCCGGTTGCGGGCTCGATCAATGACTCTCTCATCATTGATGTTTCCATCTCTCTCTCTCCCTCTCTTTTCCTTTCTCTGAAATCAATAGAGATATATTAAAAAACAAAACAAAACAAAAAAAACTCCAGCCACATGATCTATTATATTTTGCTGTCATATATTTCATTTAAAAATATTTGAGGAAAAATTGGCCCACTGGCGTAACAGATATTAAGAATGAAAATGTTAAAACACTAATATAGAAAAAGCATTTACAAATGTGTGAACAGTACTGGGAGAAATATAGCATTAGCACTAAAAAGCGATAACTATTGTCAAACAGAGATGTAATAGTAACCAAAGAAAATAATTTGGTTTAAATGGAATAAACTTTAGCAGAGAACCAAATGCTGCTACATCCAATGTGAAAAGTGAGTCCAGCACATTAGACCAACAAGAATTATTTCACTCAATGTTGTCACATAAAATACAAGGCTAATCCAGTAAACTGGCTGCTAACCACACTAACCTACTATATAGTTTCTACAGTCAGTCTCAAAGTGCTCATGTCACCTTGCTGGCTTGTGTCCCTTACCTGCTGTTGATCCGCGCCTTTCTTGCTATGGTTCTGGATATAATCAACCAGCCCATGTACCACTGTACGCACAGCAACCAGTCCATTTTCGAGCTGGTCCCAAGTAGGAGGAGGAGCATCTACACAACAAATAAAAATACATTCTTTTAAACATTATCCAATGTTTTCCTCAATATTAAATTATAAAAGAGATGTGTAAGCACTTCAGTGAAATCAAGTTAAGCTTCAGGTAACAGCTTATTCACCTAAACATTGTTTTAAAGAAACAGATGTATTCTTCTAAATCTGGGGCTGAAAACAAACAGCTACAGGGACAGGGACGGTAACATAAAGGAATTAAGTAGGCCAGACAATAAATGTCAACTGTCAATAGATGCTTCGTGTTGGAAATGACAACAGAAAGAGACAGGCACTGTGAACTGGAGAGTATGTTTCACATCTAAGGTCACAGTTACTATTAAACTTTAGCTGATGGTTGTTATGTGAGGATGCAAGGCTGGCCCTGCCAGATACACCAGTTTCTCAGGGAACGCTGAAATTTGAGATTTGTATGTAAAATTACCCAGTTTTTAAGTGTTGATACCTAAAAAAATTTAGAATATTGTGCAGGCCAACACTGTGTGCACCAAGCAAAATTTAACTGTGGACAGCCTACGGTCAACAAATTTGTCATGTCTATTTTGAAATTTTGTATAAACCACGTAATGGTAAACAATTATTTTAAAAGTTTAAGAACTAATATATAAAGCAACTCTGCTATGCATCCTCTTCATTTAGTAAGCTATCTGTCCAGGGCCAGTACTGAAATTTTATAAAGGAAAAATTAACCACAGGGCTAAATATGAAATGTTTCTTTAAAAGAGATATAAGCCTGGCTGGGCATGGCTCAGCGCTTGAGCATCGACCAAGGATCCAGGAGATGGCAGTTCGATTCCTGGTCAGGGCACATGCCCGGGCTGCGGGCTCGATCCCCAGCTGGGGGCGTCCAATGACAACTCTCTCATCATTGATGTTTCTCTCTCTCTCTCACTCTCCCTTCCTCTCTCTGAAATCAATACAGATACATTTTAAAAAAAGAAATATAAAATGACGGAAGAACACAGGTGTAGAGCTGACTCCTGTTGGAGACATTCTGAAAGATTCAGGCGATGGCATTTGCACTCGTCTTTGGAGGAAACTTGGAATTTTAACAGCAAAGAAGGGAAGGAGGAGGGCGCAGAGAAGGCAGAGGGACCGTCACGTGAAAGTGTCTTTGGAACATCTTGTTCCCGGGGATGGTTCTAGCTGCTGGGAAGCCGTAGCACTCAGAACAAAAATCTCTTCTACTCAAGGAGAGAAGCCAGACAATAGGTAAGATAAATAACCAAAATACAAGTATTTCAATAATAATGAGTTGAATAAATAGAGCAAAGAAGGAGAGTGAGACAGGCACGTGTACAGCTTTAGCCAGGGAGGCCTGAGAAGGCCTCCTGGAGAGGGTTATATCTGATGAAACCTGAAGGAAGGGCTGAGTGTGCCTGTGCGTACACCAGGAGAAAACATCCTAGGAGGAGGGGGGAGACATGCAGAGCCCTGCCACGGGAGCAGGCCTGGCCTGTCTGGACCTGAAACCAGAGAGTGTAGGGTGGATGGACGAGCAGGGGACGAGGGGAGAGAGGTAAAGGAAGACCAGATCCTGGGACGCCTGGGAGGTCATATAGAAAGGCGCTGGCTTTTACTGAATGAAAAAAGCCCTGAAGAATTTTTGAGCAGAGGGGTAATAGGATCACTCTGGCACCTAAGCTCAAACCAGACAGACAACAGGAGGCTATTCTATGGTCCATGAAGAGGGAGAGATAAGGGTGGTAGCAGTGAAAGAGTTAAGTAGGTGGATTCCGAGTGGATTTTCAAGGCAGGGCCTACAGGATATGCTGATGGAGTAGATATACCTTAAGAGAGAAAGGTGAGTTGTGGATGGTATTGCCAAGGTCTTTGGACTGAGGAAACAGAATGCTAGAACTGCCACTAACTGGAACGGGGATGGGGTGAGGGCTTGGAACTCACTTTTCAATAGATTAAGTTCGAAATTCCTATCTGATAGTCAAGCAGAGAGGTTGGAATGTTGGATATTGAGCAGGCAGGTGGATATACAAAAGAATTCTGGAAGAAGGTGTGGGTTGGAGATACTGTGTTTCACAGGTTCTAAAATGTCAACTGTAACACACGAGCCATTATTTTATGTGCCAATTTTTTTTTAAAAGACTAATTATTGTATCAGTGCTTGTACAAATGCATCCCAACTTCAGAAATGCTAAGAGCTGTAAAAAACTGTGGGCTTCAGAACTGATGAAATATAGTAAATTTATGAGTTATATAAATAATATTTAAAGTCATGAGACTTTAAATAATATTTAAAGCACATTCTAGGGAATGGGCGTAAACAGAAAACAGAAGAGCTATAAGGATTAAACTCTAGAAGCATTCCAAAAGTCAGAGGCTAGGGGGGAAAATGGTTAGAAGCTATGGGGAGGAGAAACCAACAAAGGAGGCTGAGGAGGAGGATTCTACCAGGAAAGAAGGAAACTAAGAGACAGTGGTGGCCTGGAAGCCAAGTGGAAAAAAATGTTACAAGAAGTGAAGTAAACAACAATGTTAACTGCTGCCAACAGGTCAAATACAATGAGTATCAAGAGCTGCTGTTTGGAGTCCGCTACATGAAAGTCACTTGTAATCTTGACAAAAGCAGACTGGATTAAGTGGTAGAGATAAAAAAGCCTGGTTACAGTGAGTTCAACAGAGTGCTATAAAAAAGAGAGAAATAGAATGTAGGTGGATGGCAAATGGTGTCAAAGGTGTGTTACAGTGAGAGGAATAATAGTATGTTTGTTTGCTGATAGAAATACTCTATTAGAGAAGGAAAACTGATGATAAGAAAGAGAGACACTGGAAGGGCAGACTTGACAAGATGATATCAGTGCACGAGAGAAGGTTGCCTTAGGTGAGAGTTTACCAACTCTTACGTAAGGCGTGCAGAATATACCTGCACAGATGCAGGTAAGCAGGCTGGGAGCTGATGGAGTGGTGAGCTTGCAAAAGTGCTCTTTTCATTGCTCAGAATGATCAAAGCAAAGAAATGAGGGGGAAAATCACTGTGTTGTAGGACTAGATCTGATTTGGTTTGATTAAGCAGTTTTGGTAGTAAATCTACAAAGGTAAGCTGATAAAAAATTAGAGAGCTCTGAATGCCACAGTCAAGAGTTCAAAACCTTATTCTATAAGCAGTGGGGTATCACTGAAAGTTTCTGAGCGTAGAAATAAGAGATGGGATTTATTTTACAGCAGTAAGTGGAATGAAAGGCATTCAGTCTCAGGAAAAGGACTGAGGCCTCACTAAGGCAGCATTAATAGACATGGGATAAAGGGATATTGTGAAAGAAGAACAGACAGATCCTGTTGTCTGGAATGGTATGTAGAGCAAGCAAAAGGAAAAGAAATGAAGTAGCACAAAAGCCTCAGGTTTTAAGCTCACATAGCTTGAGAATTAGGTCATTTAGAGAGAGGGCACACAGGAGGAAGAGCAGGTATCAGGCGATGATGGTGAATCTCAGAGAGCTTTGAGAAAGTGGGTCTGGAGTAATGAAGACATAATAGTGATAGAGATATTGAGAGTCCATTATCTACAAAGAGATAATACCCGATGCTGGGAATGAATGACCATCATCAACAGAGTGCAGAGAAAACAAAATTCCAAGAACACAATCAGCCTACTCTTTGGTGGGCAGGAGAGAAAAGAATGGTCAAAATAAGACAGAACCAGCATTTAGACAGGTCAGAAGAGAACCACAAGACTACAGATATAAGTTATTACAAGAGTTTCTATATCCAGGAAGTAGTCAACAACATTATCAAATGAAGTAATTTAAGGACTGAGAAGAAGTCTTTGGAATTAGAAACTGGGAAATTACTAGTGAATGTTAAGAGGGTTTTAGTTCAGTAGTGGGAATGAACACAGGACAGCAATAGAATATAAGTGAACATATCTCAGATGAAGTATTAGGTGAAAAATGAAGGCTGGGAGAATTTCAGGTCAAGAAGAAGGAACAGGAAAAGGGTTGAAAATAAGAGAGATACCTGATGGAATGAGATACCGTAGAGAAGAAAAAAATGGTACCCAAAAAAATGCAACTAATAACGTGATTTAGAAAAAATGAGAAAACCTGAGTTTAGTCAAAAGAGATGAGAATGGTACAATACAGCACAATGTTACACTGAGAGAAAGAGGAAACATAAAGGGCTCCAGAGAGAATCTACTTTGCTGGTGAAATGAACAGCACAGTAAAAAGTATTAAAAAATAAATATTAGTTGAAGTAATAAAGAGACAGAAAAGACTGAGGCCAGAACTAAAATACTGTAGAAAAAACTGGAATAACCATTCTAGGAAATTCTAGGAAAATGTAACTAAAAATAATTAAAAGAATCATTGAGCAGCACTGAGGTACACATAGGACAGCCCTTTAATGTCCCTTAGGTTTACCTGGACTAGGGTCAATGTTTGCTAATAGCTCCAAATGGGGTCTTAGTCGGTTCAAGTTTGCTGGGTCTCCAGTCCGCTGGAGAGCAATTGTTAGTTCCTGGACACTTTGTGCAAAAGAGGCTGGAGTCTGCAACTTAAAAGAAGAAAAATATTAACTTCCTCAGAGGCCAGATAATCCTTTTAAAGTAAAGATTATTTACAGTATCACAATCATCTTTGCAATTTAAGTTTAATTTTTAGCCTCCCACACCTCCCACACTTTGGCCAGGCTGGATTTCCTGTTGCTACCTGAGCGAACCCTGCACCTCTCTGCATCTGTGGCTTGGCATGCTGTACCCTCTCTTCCCTCTGCTACCACATTCCTCACATGTGAGACCCCTCATAATTCTCAGTTTGGAAGTACTCTTTCCATTTTATGTTCTTACGGTTAGGCTCTTGGGGTCCTTCCAAATAACTGAAATTTGGAAATACAGTCTACAGAAAATGCTATACAAAAGCAAGAACAATGAAACTGAACTAAGTTTGGGTTCAGGTTCTGTTACAGACCAAAGGTCATGACACTGGCTATAATCTTTACAGACTCAGTCTGAAGTACATATGTTATATGGACTACATCATTTCAAAAGTCCACTGCAACTCCAAAAGAATCCTATATTGGTTTGGGATTCTTAGAAGCTCTCAGATTGTGTATTTTCCTATGCCTTAATGATACACATTCTTGCATTAACTTCCTTAAGTTGCCCATACATGACCTTTAGTTAAAAAAAAAAAAAAAGTTGATTATGTGATAGTAACTAAGGGTTCCTACTTGGAAAAATTAACTGTATATTAATACAGATGAGGATTTGTCCCTCCCAAAAGGTCACTGTATAAAAGGTAATTTTTCTTTAAAAGCATACATTTTAAAAAAACATGGAAAATAATATTAGAATGCTGACATGCCTATATTTAATTTTTTCTTCTCTGCATGTTTTTTTATATACTTAAATAATTTATAAACTTACGGTTTTGGCTACCAGTGATATTATATGAAGTCTATCCAGTCGACTAGAAATATTTCCTCTTTGTGAACTGTTAATTCATGTTTCTTTTTCCATTAATTTACTAGGATTATTGCTTAATATTTTAAATAAAGTCTCTATTTGTACTGTTTGATACAGTAGCCATTAGCAACATGCAGCTTTTTAAATTTAAATAAAATGAAATAAAAATTTTAGTTGGGCAAGTCACATACTGGTGGCTTAATAACCATGTGTGGCTAATGATCATATTGGACAGTGCATATATAGAACATTTCCATTAACACAGAAAGTTCTATTGCTCCATATAAGATGTCACATACACTGCAAAGCTTGTTTACTAGTTTATTGTATGAAGGTCTCTGGATATTAAATTCAAATTCTTGCTCATAATGTGAGAAAATTATTACAGGACATATACCTAGTTATATAGCCTAGTTCAGACAGTTCTACAAGATTCCTTGTAGAACCTTTATTAAAAAGGCCAAGTTTCTCTTCAGAGGTAGAAAGCTACTCCTTTAAGAGATCATTACTAAGGTTTCAATATGTTATGTAATGTCAGTTGCATAATTTCAGACGTAAAAGTTGCACGTAAAGTTTGGTTAGAGGTATCTAGGGAAGACTTAGAGGACAAAACAAGTAATAATACTGAAAATTATGCACCAAGTAGCTATAAAACACATTTCCCAATTCTCCTTTACCATCAATCTTCTACTCATTCAAAGAATTCTATCTTTGGGAATAGGAGAGGGGGGAGAAAGAGAGAGAGAGAGACTGGCTTGGAAAGAGACTTAGTGGTTAAGAACAGGTATTCTAGAGTCAGAATGCCCCAGTTCAAACCCAGATCTGTCACCAGAGAAATGCACTTAACCTCTCTGTCTCTGGATAAAAGGGATAATACAGGGCTGTTGAGAATAATAAATGAATTCTTTAAACCACCAAGTACATAGTAAGCTCTCAGTAAGTGTTAAATATTTGGGCAACATCTTAACCTTATTTCTCTCAATTAATGATAGGGTGGACTCTAAAGTATACCATCTCTATGGTTATAAGTATGTAAGGTAAAATAGTAAAACTTAAATACTATTATTGAACATAGTATATTTACATGGCACTTTTAGGCTTTTTTACAGTGCTTTCATATATTTCATACTGAATCACAACACATTTATGGTATGCTCCAGTTTTGTGGGATTTTTTAGTATGCTCCAGTTTTAAGAGAATTAAAAATAACTCTTAGAGTAAAAAATAAATAATGAAGCCTGACCTAAAATTCATGTGTACTCTAGTGATCTTTTTGTCATAACAAACAACAGAAAGTAGAAATAAGTTTATTGAAAATTTGCTCAAACTTAGAATGGTTGGTAACTTATGTGAAATTTTTCTCACTGAGAATGATATGAAACCTCAATGTGTACATCTTCCAGACCATTAAACGTCTGCTACAGGTAGACAATAAATCCATTTAGGAAATGGGTTTAACAAACAGTGAACAAAACTCAGAGAACAATAAAAGAAGGGAGAAAGGTAATGATATAAAGAGATAGGAGCCTCTCAAAGAATGAGCAAGTGCGTGCTCGATAAAGCATTAAAACACTGATAAAATATTATATGAAAAATGTCAATTACACCTCAGTTTTTAAAATTCTTTGTATTAACAAACTGGTATTACGATGTGACCAGTTATGAAATGACACCCAACTACAGGGAATCATGAATCACCAAAACTCCAGATTAGTCCAAGAAGTAAGGAATAACAAAGGGTGTACCTTGTCAATAATGGACTGCATATGAGATTTATGAGACTGGTCTCCATAAAGCAAAGAGGACCACTGGTCAGGTGCAATTCGTAAGCCTGCTTCCATAGCAATCTGCACTATCTGGGAGTCATGCTCTCGCCGCAGAGCTTCATAGGTCCTAAATTCTTCTTTCAGCTGCATCAAAGAAGAGTCTTCATCACGTTTGGTGACCTAACAAGATACACATAATGATACACATAATCCCATCATGAGTCAGGTAAGGAATGAAATGGGTTTATACTTTGTAAGAACATCTATGGATAACAGATCATTTTTTTCAAATGTTTTTACTGATTTCACAGAGAGGAAGAGAGAGAGAGACAGAAACATCGATTAGAGAGAAATATCAATGGGCTGCCTCCTGCACGCCCCCTACTGGCATGGCCCGGAATTGAACCAGCCACCTTCTGGTACATGGGATGACACTCAAATAATTTTAATGTAACAAACATTTCTTTTAGTAACAACAGCAAGATTAAAATGGAGCACACCATTTTACCAATAAAACATTTTCCCTTTTACAAATGTCAAAATCTCTAGAATCATATCAGAATAGCCAAATACACCTTATTTCCTCCTTCAATGACTCTCTCTATCCAGACCAATTCTCCTTGCAGTCTTGGTGGAAAACTGACACCGCTTATTAGTCTCTCCAAATGCAAAAATCTATAAGCCTCAGTTTGATCTATGTTATTCACTATCTAACTAACATACAAGTTTAATATGAAAAGATTTACTAGGAAACCATCTATATTCTTTAAAAGAAAAATTACTGGATTTTCTGAAAAAATACATACAACTTTATTAAACTCAAAAGTTTTACTACTTGTTTAGGGAAAGGACAATGTTTCCTTTAAATAAAATGTAACAGAGGTTCATACCTTGAAGCAGGAGGCTCTATATAGGAGTTGGACAACATGCCCAATGCTAGTTTTAGAGGCTTGAGGAAACCGTGGCTCCAACCTTTGCACCACAAAGAGAACCAATACTTTTCTTGACAAAGCAGAACCATCTTCTAAGGCCAGAAGAACCAGCTTTAGAGCTTCCTCCTGCATTGCTAGGAAAAGTTGGGCAAAACCAAAATTTATCATTTGCAGGGATAAGATAAATTCACTTATTAGAAGGGCAATATTCAATAATTTTTGCAGGTATCACTTAAATAGGCAATGCAATAATAGTCGCAGTTATCCTTTTCAACCTTTTGGGGGGCATTTTTGTATTACACTCTGTATATTTTATTTAAGAAAGCAGATAAGAAGTTAATACATTTAAGAACTTCTATCAAAAATGAACAAAGTTCTAGCATTAAGGGAAAAGTTAAGTGCTGTGAAAAACTGACATGGAATCACCCACGCTATGATTATCAAGTAACAATAGAATATGCAATGAACTAGCCTTTGTACATATTTGTAGCTCCTATACCACACTTTTAGAATTACTAGTGTAGTAAATATGAAATTTAATTCTATACCTGGTCCAAGGAACTGGCAGCCCCGAGCTCTGACTGCTGCCCAAAGATTAGAAGAGAGCTGCTGAGGATTCTGGTGCTGCAGAATGAGTTCTGTAACTGTTCGTTCACCTAAAGATCGAGCTGCCCGCATGGCACGAATCCTGCCTTCTTCTTCCACTAGTTGGCAGTGGACCAGAGTCACTAGCTTCCTCTGCATTGGGCGACTCAGAACACTCTGAGTAGTGCTATTCAGACCCACTCCTTTAAAAGAGAAGAAGTTATTCCTAGGTTTACGATGCAATTTTAGAGTTCAGGAAAACTACCTCTGATGGGCTGATTGACTTACGGGTTGTACTAGAATGCTTATGCTTAAAATAATAAAATTACACAAGTGAAGCATTTTTAAAAGTATACAAAAGCTGTTACCTCATGTAAATATAACATTCATGACATGAAATATACCATTATTCATTTTAATCATAGAGAAATAAAGATGAAAAGGCCAGACAATAATAATTAGTTTGTAAGACCCGAATCTGGAGGTTATAACAGTTTTGTCTTGTTATTTCACAGTGGTTACCCATACCTTCCTTCCTAATGAAATAACAAGCAGTAATGACAAGACAGTAATGGCAACTTCCAATTTTATTACCTCCCCTATAGCACACCATGTAAAACTGAATAGAAGACAGACAGTTCAGACAGTCAAATGATAGAGAACCCTTCTGAAACCATTAATGCATTCATACTTATACTTATTTCTGCAGCTCATTCAAATGTTTCCAACACCACATAAACTCTACATTCATTACTTTCTTTGATATGGTTTCTAATAACATTATTTAGCATCAGTGAGTTTGGTTTACAATAAATAAATTTCATTAACGTTCATTTACAGCCCACAATTTTTATGGTAATAAAAGTATTTTAATAAACATCTGCTTAGTATTGATAACTGTACCCAATTTACCTCTAGCACTGCTGAGTGGTTTCAGGTACAATGCTAATTCTTCTACACATTTCTTGGCTTCTTCATAATGCTTTGTATCTTCAACCCCACTGCACAAAGTAATGGGTTGCTGCTCAGGGACCTCAAGGTCAAAAGAAAAGGTCTGCTTCAGTGCTTACTAATCAATTAAACAAATGCTTTATTGAGTATATTTGAATATATTTTATGCACTGCTGTTTTAACACTGGTAACATCAAATTCCCACTAAATTTATGGATTCTTAAAGAACTTCATATTCTTTTAACTGCTACGCCCCCCTCGTATTTCTTCCCAACTTCCACCAGTCCCAGGAAAAAAACTAATCTATTTTCTGTCTCTATAGATTTATCTATTTAGACATTTCATATAAACAGAACAGAGAATCATGCAATAATTTCCTTCCTAAGTGGCTGCACCATTTTGCATTCCCACCAGGAATAAATGAGATTCTGCTGCTCCACATCCTCACCAGCATTTGGGATTTTAGGTATTCTGTGTAGTAGAACCTTTGTTTTAATTTGCAATTCCAAATGACAAATGATGCTGAACTCACTTATTTGTTCATCTGCCATCTGTATATCTTCGTTGGTGAGGTATCTGTTCAGATCTTTGCCAATTTTTAAATTATGATCTTATTTATTAAGTTGTAAGGGTTCTTTAAATATTCTAGATACAAATTTCTTACCAGATATATGTTATAATTATTCTCTCCCATTCTGTGGGTTGTTCTTTCACTCTCTTGACAATGTCCTTTGAAGCACAAAGTTTTAAATTTTGACTTAGTTCAATTTATCTATTGTCTTGTGATTTTGGTATCTTATCTGAAAAACTACTGCAAGGTCATGGATATATCTAGGCCTGTATTTCTTCTAAGAGTTTTGTAATTTTAGCTCCTACATTTACCTTTTGATCCACTTTGAGTCAAGTTTTATACATGGTATGAAGTAGAGGTCCAAATTCATTCTTTTACATTTGGATACTGAGTTTTCCCAGGACCATTTGTTGGAAAGACTGCCCTTTCCCCATTGAATGGTCTTGGCAACCTTGTCAAAAATCATCTGACCATACATGTGGTTTTATTTCTGAACTCTATTCTATTCCACTGACCTAAAAATGTCTTTATGACAATAGCACATTCTCTTGATCACTGTAGCTTTGCAGTTTCAAAATCAGAAAGTGTGATTCTTCTAACTTTGTTCTTCTTTGTCAAGAATGTTTGGCTGTTTGAGATCCCCTATGATTCCATATGAATTCTAGGATGAATTTTTCTATTTCCAAAAAGAAAAACCACCCTTGGGATTTTTATAAAGCTTACACTACATCTGTAGATTACTTTGGATAGCACTGTCATCTTAATGTGAAGTTTGCCTATCCATGATGTCTTTTCATTTATTTATGTCTTTTTAAATTTCAGCAACGTTTTGTAGTTCTCAGGATTCAAGTCTCTCATGACCTCCTTCACTAAGTTTATTCCTAAGTATTTTATTCTTTTTGATGCTACTGTAAGTGGAATTTTTAAAAAATTTCCTTTTGGACTGTTCATTGTTAGTGCATAGATATGCAACTGATTTTTGTGTGCTGATTTTGTATCCTGCACGAGGGCTTAGAGAACTAAATACAAGTTACTTAAACATTTTTCTCATTAAAAGAATATTATCAAAGCAATTTATGTGCACTTAGAAAAATTTAAAAAAACACACCCAGAAAGTAATTTATTAGCTCTAACAGTTTTTAAATGGAAATCTTTAGGGTTAAAATAGTGGCTATTCTGTAGTAAAATACACATTATCCTATCCTCAAATTTCACAAACATTAGCTGTTTCAGTTAAGGTATGACAAAGTCTTACTCATTTTTAGAAAAAAAAAAAAAAAAAAAAATCAGTTCATCCTTAGATATCTTTACAAAAACAAGAAAACCTTGGTTATTTGTTATTAAAATATTACATTCTAAAACTGTTACCTCCCAGTAAGTTTATTTTTTAAAATGTTTCCAAAATGTCACACTGGAATTTTCAAAATGAAAAGAAAAATGATTATGAAATAAAAAACTAAGTACAGGAAGAAAAGAAAAAGAATCAGTGCTTTCCCTTTTCACAAATATTTTGTAGTATTGTTGGCAATGTACATATTAACTTTCTCTACTTAAAATAGCTTTTAGGAAGATATGACTGGGCTAGGTCCAAAGTTCCAGTATATTTATTTGGATGATTATGGTAAACAGATGGTACTTTCAGGTTCACACTATGCAAATTAATCTAGTGAGGGATTATTTAAGGGAATCATATCTAGCTCTCAAAAACCTGCCCCCCATGGCCTTGTGAAGCCTTCGGAGGATACCACTGATCTCTAATTTGAGAATACTGACATAAAACTTTCAGAGTCTTACTTTCAGAATTACCGCACTAATTTTATGGGTGCCCAGGGATATTTGCTCCTACTCTAGATAAATGGTTCCAAAGGCTGTGGGTTACAGTTTTTTGTCACCCTCTTCACCTTCCACTTCAGTTAGTATCTACTAAGTAAAATTGTCTGAAGCAGCTTCACTTTTCTTATTAAGTAAAATGCAATGGTTTTATGAATAATATTTTCCTCAGTATTAGAAGGTCCTTGTGACTTACTTCTTAAGTTTCTCTAGTGATCTTAATTGCTAAGATTGTCAAGAAAGTCAGACCACAAGATTAGAACATGGCTACTGTACTAGGACTGAGGAACACTAGATACTACCCTAAGTTCCCTAACACACTGAAATAAAGGATTTGCACAGTACTGAACAGAATTTATCTATTTAAATAGAGGGCAATGTTACCCAATTTTAATTCGACAGGTTTGTCTCAGAAGGAAAACACACAGGCAGAAATTAAATCGGTCACCCATCATACCTGAGCGCCCACTAGCTGCAGCAACGCTGAGTTCACGGGGAGGAGCTCAATGTCTGTATTGATAGTGGTCTGGTCAAACGGGCAAGCCTTGCGGTGGAGCTTATTCAGGCACATCTTGCAGACAGTATGGCCACAACCCAAACTGATGGGTTTTCGAATTGTTTCATCAAAAGTCTGAGTGCAAATTGGGCAGGAAAGAAAATCCGTCCACTGTGGAGCTTGTACAGGCATTGCTTCTGGAGTTACAATTCACTAACACACACACACACAATATCTAAAGCAAAGATTCCACTGGAATCAAAATCTTTGAAAAAAGTTTATCTTTTTTTTTTTAATAGTTTCTGTAGGTACAGTCAGCACATAGTGTGAAATATAACCTGGAAAACAAAGAAAAAGAAAAAAAATGAATCTTCCTTTTTACATTAAACTGTATCTTCTCATCCTACTACCTACAACCTTATATACTACATTTAATATCACCAGTCCCTCTTTTTACACTTTTACATAATTAGAGTCATAATAAAACATCTAGTCTCAGTCCCTCAATTTAAAGATGAGGGATAGACCCCAGAAAGATGAAATAACTGCCTAAAGTGACACATGAAGTTAGTAATAAAGTTAAAAGATACAGGACCTAAGTCTCTCAAGTTTATCTAAATCTGTGATTGTTTTATATTTAAAAATTAGCCTTTTTGAGGTCATTAATAATATTGTTTTTCATCTGCACACCAGTTACATGAATCTGTTCAGCTGTGAAGTTTTATCAAGCTCTACACTTATGATATGTACACTCCTGTGTACGTTACCCCTCAAGTTGGCTCAAAATAAAAACTGCCTTAAAATACTTTATCAAATTTGGTATGGGTAATGAAATAAAAAAAAGACTGTAGGTTTTTTAAAGGTTTACTTTTAAGGGTTTTAGACATTCTTTAGAGTTTTATTTACTAGTAGATATCTTTAAGCCCCAGGTACAGCCTATACTTACTGCTATAGTATGTTGTATTAGAACATAGTTAAAGCTATTTACTTCAAAAGATTTTTTTAAATTCCCCAACTTTAAGAATGATAGAATAATTCTAGTTAACCAGAACCCATATATAATCAAATTTCACTGTCTATCCTTTATTTTTGATGGGGGATAAAAGCCAAATCACAAAACTCATCACCTATGTCTAACAAAAATTTTCTTTATGTATAAAACCCTACCAGAAATTTCTAGCACGTATCTTAAATATGCAAAACGAAACTTGTAGACCAGTACATACGATATAATTTGTGTTGGGGAAAACCCTACATACTAGTCTTGGTTTTAATGGATGTAAATGGATGGAAGGAAAAGATCTAGAAAGGTATGTAACAAACTTAACACACAGCTGGGCAACTTACAAAATGTATACAGTCATGAATTATTTATATAAGTGCAAATAACTTTGAAGGACAAAAATACGAGAAGCTACAGTACATTTACAATACAATTTAGGCTGTTTCTAAGATAAATTACTATAAGACTATTCAAAACATTTTTCCTTATTAAACCGACCCTTTAACACATTTGGATAACCAAATCATGAAAACTTAGCTCTTTCCAAAATTCATTAAAAATATTTATACTTTATAATTTATCTGTTTCAAAGAACTAGCATAGTTTATTAATTTTATATATCATTTCCATCTCTATTAACCTAGTAAAATGAGGTATATAGTTGCTAAACTATTATATTTTTTAGTAAAACAGCTTTTAGAGACAACTATAACAAACTTGATAGAAAAGACATACAGAATCAGCACCAAATTCTGCACTAAAAATAGCAGCATTCCTTTGACTATCAAGATAAGTTTGAGAGATCAAGGGAAAAACAGTATTGTAAAGGCTTGACTTTGCCTGAGAAATCTGATGATTACAAATAGTAAGTCACTCTTTGATAACTGTATTTCAGGAATTACAAAAACATAAATCAAAGATTTTTTAGAGACTCAGAGTCATTAATTATAGTTATTAGATCTAAGAAGAATGTCTTCTTCATTCTTTAAATATCTTTCTCCAATCACCTTTCCAAACATACTCCAAGCTCCAAGATTCTCAAAGGCAGTGTTTACATCATCTTCAGCCACAAAAACATATCTAAACCACACAGGACATATGGCTTAGTGAATGTAATAAACATTCTTTCAGCCAAGAGTAAACATATGAAATAAAATTACTAAAATACCAATATCTAAATTCTTTAAACTTCCTCAGAGCAAGGTTTTATGGCGGGGGGTGGAGGGAGGGTGGTGGTGGTAAATAATTCTGTTAATTAAAGTACATGTGCTAAAAGCCTGCAGATAAATCATTATGTGTTAGGGCTCAGCCTCAATCTAGCTTGTTAGAAAGTGATTCTACTGGAACCTTCCTACTCAGAAACAATGCATGAATGATGAGTCCTCTTTATTAAAAAAAAAAAAAAATCTAAAAAAAGTGACTGATGCAGTGTTATGAGAGCAATGGTTAACTTTCCCATCAGTTTAAATAAGGTCTACTCTCCTATGTAAGTAGCAAAAATTGGAGATTTTACTGTAGAAAAATAATAGACCATACAGAACAACATGATAATTAAATAGAAATCCGTCCATCTTGAAGGTCCATATTAAAAAATATCATATAACTTCCTCAGTAATATACATATTTTTACGTCAGAAAGAGTGCTTAAAGAAAACATTTAAAAGACTTTTATTTGGTTACATGCCTTCCTCATGTCACTGACTAGAGCTACTGTACAGATTCTGACATTTGATGTTTCACTAATTTATCCCAGCTTCTAAATTCTGGTTAAAAACCAACACTTTTAAAAATCTCTAAATATTTATATTAATAAAATGAATCATTAATACTATCATTTGACCTTTCTCAGAGTTTTGTTTTTTTTTTTAAAAAGAAGATCTTCGAGTAAGAAAATTATGTCAACAAACACTAAAAAATAAGACCAATGACTCATTCCACCAACTCAGTAACTAGTCTGCAGATATCGAACTCCAACTCTCATGGCTGCTGTGAAGCCACTCAATTCAAATCCATGCCTCTGCAAAATAACAAATAACTATATGTTGTGAGCCTCAAAGGTTTAACTGTGGTGAAAGCAACTGCTAAAGAGCTACTATAGACAAACTTATGATGACATGATACAACACGTTAAGACATGATACATAACAGAGCTTGGTTTTCTGAAAACAAACCATGTGTCAGGCGTTATTCTGAGTGTTTTCAGATGCTTCTCTTATTTAAATATCTACCATAAATCTAAACCACAATACAAACTTCCACCAGTAACCAATACTTGTTAGGTGTTTTAGCATTTTCCGTGTTGTATACATAGCACCTAATTAATTAAATGCTCACAGCAATGATGTAATGTAAAATTATCTCCATTTTAAAGATAAAGAAACCAAAGTACAACCCTGGCCAGCGTGGCTCACTTGGTTGGAGCAGCATCTCATACACTGAAAGGTTGTGGGTTCGATTCCCCATCAGGGCACATACCTGGGTTGAGGGTTCAATCCCCGGTCAGGGCTTCCCCATCACATCGATCTCTCTCTCTCCCTCTCTCCCTCTCTTTCCCTTCCCCTATCTCTAAAAAAAAAAAAAAAAAAAAAAAAAAAAAAAAAAAAAAAAAAAAAAAAAAAAAAAA